AATTCACATCTCCTGCTTCTATATAATAATCATATGATCATATAGATTAAGAATTGCAAAAGGTGACCCATAGGCCTGCGTATGCGTACCCTTTTTCTGAGCTTGATCAATTCAAAAGGATCGACGAATTTCTCTCCCTTGTCTTGTGATTCTGCTACCGGTTAGAGGAAGAGAGGTCTGGCTTGAGAGTTGCAGGTCAGAGAATGGAATTGAGCCGCCGCTCTGGGAGAATATCAAACCTGCCGAGATGTTTGACGTGCTTCTTGAACCGGACAAGTAGGGATCTTTTGCAGCACCGGATATGTGCTCAGTTGATGAAGAAGAAGGGCCGGCTGCGAGAGCACCCAAGAGGGAGCTCACTGGGTAAGGAGCCACCGGTGCATCAGCGAGAGAGGACGCAGAAGGATTGTATCTGATGGTTCCCATTGGATGATCAAATTTACATGTTGACCCAAACTTACAGAAGCCGTTTTGTACGTAGAAAGTGCAACGTTGCACACCCTGTTTTCAACCCAAGTGAAAAGGATTTAGAGAAAAAATGTTACTATGACCAAGCCCAGAGATTGTAACAGTCAAAAGTGCATGACTTTACGCTATGCAACAACTTTAGAAAGAGCATACCGGGCGTAGAGGAAGACCAATGGCGCTGAGGACACAATTAGCTCTTGGTGGAACCCGATCTCGAGGATGATGAAACTTACAAGATGTTCCAAACTTACAATCTCCTGTTTTCAAATAGTATTGGCACTCTGGTTCACCGGGTCTCTCTGGAAAGGTCTGTTCTCTCTGAATAACACCTGTAGGAGAGGACAGAGATGGATAAACCCCAGGAATCGAAGGAGTGGTGGAAGAGAGCTGTGTAACTCCATATAAAGAAGTTGCCCCAACAGCATGCTGAGCACCAGGAGATAGAGCAGGGCTCACAGGTGTCTGAACCAAAAAGAAAAGTAAGGGCGAGAAAGAAAATGTGGTAAATAAGAAACGTATCAATGATACAACAATCTAAAAGGTTACCGAGTAAGGACTCCAGCCTGGAATAGGAACCACCCCAGGGGTTAGAAGCATTGGACCGTAGGCGCCTTGCATATAAGAACCAGGAAGAAGAGTTCTTGCAACTCTCAAGCTAGAGGATGGACCTCCATACTGGTCAGGCATAAGAGACTGCACCGATGGATAAAACTGAGGTGCAGATGCTGGTGGTGGTGGAACTGTTGTACCAGCAGGCTGAGGATGATGAAATTTACATGTTATACCAAATTTGCATTGCCCCGTTTTCAAATAGTAGGAGCATTCGTTTTCTCCCTACAAAGATTTATCAAAGATCATGCGAACCCGACACGACCCTTTATATTAGATTTGTACATTAACATGTACAAAAGAAGGAGAGAAGGAAACAAAACTTACCTCTCGTACTGGGTATCCATATATATTTAAAGGAATGTGGCTCATGGATCCACCTGCATTCTTTGGATGGTGGAATTTGCATGATGCCCCAAATTTACAGGTTCCTGTCTTCAAATAAAACTGCAAGCATAACCGGAATTTACAATTGATAATCCCTAGTTTCAACATTCAAAATGACAAGTTTTTCTTTTTTCTTCCGGGTTTACCTGGCATGGCGGTTCACCTATACGTTCTGGATACTGCCCTGTAGCTCTAACCGTTGCTTCAACCTACATCAACGGAAACAGATTGCAAACTGTAATCTAAGAAGACAAATGACAAGCATTTACCAGAGCATATAAGGCTATGTGAAATCAAACAACACGCTCAGCAATACTAAGAACATCGAACGAGCAAGAAGTTTTATATAAAGATGAGCCAACCAAAAAGAGACAATACCACAACAAAAACCACTCAAGCTTATCACTTTCCACACTATAGAAGCCCAGGAATCACCCACATTACGGTAAAGGAGCATTTTCCAAGAATGATTTCAGGAAAAAAAAAAACGATCAAAGAAAGAAGGAGAAGAGGAGGAATTACCGTCGCACGATCGCGAGGATGATTGTAACGGCATCTATTACCGTAACCACAGACACCGGTTCGCATGTAGTATGCACAGTCAGGCGCACCTTGTCTCTCTGGGTACGACGTTTCACTACCCAACCCTAATCGCCACATCGATTCTGCAGATTAGCATAACAAATTATCTCACCCAAAAAGCACCATTTCGCAGAAACCCTAAAGCGACCGTACGAGAATCAAGGCGCATGCGAGTAGAGAAAAGAGAGAAAGAAGAAGGGACCTTCGAGCCCGGTGTCGGCATCTCCAGGGGTCCATTCAGGACCTTGGGAGCCATTCATCGGCGGATTGCGACCATACATGTCCATTTGAAGCTACAAAATTGCCCTTTTTTAGGGATTTCGTGTACAGTAAAGTTACTAAAAACTCACCTACTACAAAAACACACATAGTAACGATGGTGAAGAAAATGTCAAATACGGAGATTACCGGAGGAGACGATTTCGAAAGCAACGAAAGTTTGAGAGAAAAAGAGATGCTTCGTCGACAGTGATTGATGAGCTTCTCTCTCTCCCCTCTTTCGCCCTTAGTTCAGAAATCAGAATACCGTACGGTCTGCCTCTGCACTGTTTCTTTTTTTTTTTAACTCTTTTTATTTTTCGAATTTCCTCCCTGCCATTATTAATTAATTTCGCTGTTTTAATTTCTTTTTTTGTTCTCTCTTGGTCTTAGTAAAAGCATCCCAGAAAAGGGAAGATATTCCCAAGAAAATTACTTGAGAAAACAACAAACTAAAAGTATATTTAATTTATATGAAATGACCATAACGCCCTTGAGCGGGGATAGCGCGCGAGTGGGTCTGGTCCGAAACTGGGGACAAATTCGTCATTTCCTTCTTAACTTCTCTCTCTCAACTCGCCCGAGTCGCGACTCACAATTTGTCGGCGTGTTCCAGTGACCGGGTTCGGATGCTTAACCCACCCGGAAGAGCTTTTTATCAAAAGGCCCATTTGTCAATAAATCGGCCCAAGTAAACACTCGAAAAGCAGCATCACAGTTCTCTGATTCATGCCCCTCTCAGAAGACAGCCATGGCCGTCGCAATACCTCCTCATCAAACTCAAGGCACTTTTCTTCTCTGTACGAAACCACCATTTCGGATTACCTTCTCCTCGATTCCTACAAATCGGAAACCTTTCTGTGTCTTCTCTCTCCAGACTCAGTTTTCTTCTTCTTCTTCTCAGGTCACTTCCAAAAACCCTAGAGATGAGCAGCAGAGACTCTCCTTCACCATCGATTATCTTATCGACTCGTGTGGATTGTCTCCTGATTACGCCATCTTAGCCTCTCGGAAGCTTCTCCTTGATTCTCCGGAACGACCCAACACCGTTCTAAACCTTCTTCGTGACCATGGATTCTCCACCGCACAGATCTCCACTCTCATCAAGAAACGCCCTGTTCTCTTGTTAGCCAATGCCGAATCTGTTCTCCTCCCAAAACTCCAATTCTTCCTCTCAATCGGCGTCTCCAAATCCTTACTCGCACGTACCCTTGCTTCTGATCCAACCATTTTGACAAGAAGCCTCACCAATCAGCTTATCCCTTCTTACAATTTCCTCAAGAGCGTCCTCGACGCCGACGAGAAGATCGTGGCGGCTCTTCGGCGCACCACCTGGGTTTTCCTCGAGGATCACACCAAGAACCTCGTCCCTAACATCAACTTCATGTCGGAGACAGGCGTTCCGGAGAAATGTATACAGCTTCTCCTCACGCATTTTCCTGAAGCCGTGATGCAAAAGAACCACGAGTTCAGGGCAATCACGAATGTGGCTAAAGAGATGGGATTCAATCCCAAGAAATCAACTTTCGTGCTGGCGATTCACGCACTCTCTGGTAAAGGCAACAAATCGATATGGGACAAGTGTTTTGAGGTCTATCAGGGATGGGGTTGGTCGGAAGACGATATCAAGTGCGCCTTCAAGAAGCATCCGCATTGTATGATGTTGTCTGAGAAGAAGATCAATAGAACGATGGAGTTTCTTGTCAAGGAGATGAATTTGGCGCCTAGATCGATCGCACAGTGTCCCGTGGTACTCTTCTTCAGCTTGGAGAAGAGGATTATCCCAAGATGTTCGGTGATTAAGGTTTTAGCATCAAAGGGGCTTGTGAAGGAGGACTGGAGCTTGACGTCATTGTTGGTTCCAGTGGAGAAGGTGTTCTTGGAGAAGCTTGTGATTAAGTTCGAGGAGGAGTTGCCTGAGTTGATGGATGTGTATCGAGGATGCACCAAACTCTCATCTTTTTTTGCTTCTGTTTAGATTGAATCCTAGAAATCCACGTCTCATATGTTACTGATTTTTGTGAAGGGAGTGTAGTGTAATCCAATTTTTGGTAATGAAGGGAAATTTGATTAACAAGTGGACAGCAAAGGATGAATTTTGATTCAAAATTTTGCCTCCAACAAAATATCATACTACAACCCGGAAACATGATCATCAAAGAAATGTGGATGCAGAACAAGTCCTTAGTTTAACGGACCTATATGTAACAAATAGCTCTATATTGGATGCAAGACCGCTGAGTTAGCCGAAAACCACCGAATGTTTCCAGAGCGTTCACACTGTTGCTAATGGTTGGAGTCAGAGGAATGAATATACGTACTGTATATCATTGAGTCTGAAACGGCAACGTTTCAGTCTAAATGTTCTTCAGCTTTTCCAAAGTTGGACCTAGAACTTCTGATTTTGATAACTAATACCCCAAAACTTTCGAATTAACACTTTTTGTACCTAAAATTCGTTAGGCTCAAGAAAACGGCAGCGTTTTAAGCGAACCATTTCCTCTTCCCAATCCACTCCCAGTCATCAGTCGCAAAACCCCCCCCCCCCCCCAAAAGAAATCCGAAAATGGCGTCTCTGTGCCTCTCTCTCCACCAAACCCTAAATCCCCTCGCGGCTCCGAGAGCAAGACCACTCGCTCTCTCCTTCCCCAGATCCACTGTCTCGATCCGCCCCTCACCCAAACGCGCAGCCTCCGTGACAACCCGCGCATCCTACACCCCAACGCCGGCGACGGAGCGCGTGATCTCAATCGCATCGTACGCGCTTCCTTTCTTCAATTCGCTCCAGTACGGGCGATTCCTCTTCGCGCAGTACCCTCGGCTTGCGTTGCTGGTCGAGCCCATCTTCCCAATCCTGAACCTATACAGATCGGTGCCGTACGCGAGCTTCGTGGCGTTCTTCGGGCTCTACCTGGGAGTGGTTAGGAACACGAGTTTCAGCAGGTACGTGAGGTTCAACGCGATGCAGGCTGTGACGCTTGATGTGCTGCTTGCGGTTCCGGTTTTGCTTACACGGATACTGGATCCGGGTCAAGGAGGTGGGTTTGGTATGAAGGCTATGATGTGGGGACACACTGGTGTGTTTGTGTTCAGCTTCATGTGTTTTGTCTATGGAGTCGTGAGTTGCATAGTCGGTAAAACGCCATACATCCCCTTTGTCGCCGATGCCGCCGGTAGACAACTCTGAAACTTTGTTTCATCACTTTCGATCTCTCTCTCTGTATTGGAATATTTTGTAATACGAAGTTGTCCAATCTTCATTGAGAAAGATTGGCCCAATAATGAAATTAAATGACTCGTGGGCCTATCTTTACAATTATCAAGATAATTAAGGATTAAAGCTTTGACCGGAATTTTGTTGATCTAGAAACCCCATAGATGTTGTTCATCTGCGTCGTCTCTTCCAACTGATTTTCGCAAATGGGTTTCGGATTACCCATTTGTAGGTCATCAATTTCTAGATTATCTTCTCTCCACCGTCGTCATCTCCGATCATCTCTCTTGTTGGAAAACCCTTGTTTCAATTCCTCCTCCGTAAGGTGGCATTTCGGTCACCCTCATCACGAACAACACCATCAAGTGAGGTCAGAAGGCGACAAGATTTTCCGCCTGGGTCTCGCCGCAGATATTGGTTTATCTGTCGGAAAAGGTTTCGCCGGTTATCTCTGTGGCAGCACGGCGCTTATAGCGGACGCTGCTCATTCCGTTTCCGATGTGGTAATTAAATATTCATTCCTTCTGTGAGTCTGAGTTGGTGGATACTGTACAGAGAGATGATCCTTCCTTTGTTTCTCTCAGGTTCTAAGTGCGGTTGCTCTACTCTCTTACAGAGCTGCAAATGTTCCCAAGGACAAAGAACATCCATATGGTTGCTGCTTACCTTATCCATCATTACATTACATAGAACCTGAGTTTTGGTTTTTTTTTATGAGTCTTCTCCTTTTTTCCGCAGGTCATGGTAAATTTGAAACTCTTGGAGCCCTTGGAATCTCTGGCATGCTTTTGGCAACTGGCTGTGGTATTGGGTTCCATGCTTTAGACCTTTTATCTGTATGAGCTTTTACACTCATTTTTCCCTCTTTCTTTTCTCAAGAGCCATAAATACTAGCATTGCAATACTGATCTAAATACTAATATGTTTCACTGGATATTTAGAGATATCTCTTTAAGGATCGTGCATTCTTCGCTCTATAGAAATAAAACTATTTAGAGATTTGGTTGTGCACACTATCTATGTTAAATGAGTTGGTGTGTGCTGAAGTTTCGTCTCCTCGTTTCCTTTTTCATATGCAGAGTGCACTCTCCGCAGCTCCTGATGTTGTCCAGGAGATTCACGGAAATCATAGTCACGGTGGACATCATCACGGATTAGATATGAGTCATCCCATTCTCGCTTTGAGTGTAACCATTGCTTCCATTTCTATCAAAGAAGGGTACGAAAGATACTTTATTATCATTTCTAAACTCTGCAAGTTTGGGATAGCTCATAGCTTCAGCTAGTTAGACTTGCTTGTCAGGATCTTTAGTACGTCTGAAACAGGAAGAGAATTGAATGTTTCTTGTGTTATTTGTTCATCCCTATCTGTTCACTTACTTTAATCATTCTGCATAAACCTTTTCCTTCTCAGGCTTTACTGGATCACAAAAAGAGCAGGAGAAAAACAAGGGAGTGGGTTGATGATGGCAAATGCATGGCATCACCGAACAGATGCAATTTCTTCTGTATTTGCACTAGTTGGAGTAGGTAAGCGCTTATATCCAATGAGTAAATATGCAAATCAGCTATATCTTTTCTTTCATTATCCCAGACCTAGCCACACATATGGTTATTAATAAGGGAGACAATGTGCTCTCTGAATTCCGTTTATTTACTTTTATCAAGTCTCATGTGTAACATGGTTTTTAAAGGGAACTACTGACAAAAGGGAAACATGAATTTCTGAAAAATCATTAAACGTTTCTTTTGTGCAGGAGGTTCCATTATCGGAGTTAAGTTTTTAGACCCTCTAGCTGGCCTACTTGTCTCGGTAATGATTTTCAATGCTGGACTGGAAACGGGACACCAAAGGTAGTCATGTCTTCCTCCGCGTGTGTGTGTGTATGTATATACACATATGTGTTGCTTTTTAGATTAGTTTTCTCTATACAAAGGTTGCATTAGCTTGAACATGGAACCATGTCCATTCGTGAAATTTTATTTGTTTGTTTAGTCTCTTAGAACTGGTGGATGCTGCTATACCAGCTCAGCAATTAGAGCCAATAAGACAAACCATATTACAGGTTGAAGGAGTCAAGGTATGATTGTGGATCCTTGTACATTTCACGATAATAGGCGTTCAATTAAACCAGTTTTGATATATAACAATATGGTATTATTTTCTAGATTCAGTCTTATCTGTAATCAGAAAGCATGCCTTAATGTTTTTTTGTTATTGATTGCCATTGAATGTCAAGACTTTTATGATATACTTCATCCATAGGGATGTCACCGGCTAAGGGGTAGGAGAGCTGGTTCATCACTGTATCTTGATGTACACATTGTGGTAATGCTGCTTCCTTCTGTACTGAGTAGAAAGAATTATCCGAATAAAATAAATCGCTATCGCCTTTACCTTACAGGTAGATCCTTTTTCCACTGTGAGTGTTGCACATGAGGTAGGAGAATATGTACGAGGACAAATTAATAAGAAGCATCCTGAAGTGTCTGAAGTTTTCATCCATATAGGTATGCAGCATGCTGCATGGTGAAGAACATGTCTAATCGACTTATCCAATGGTTCTCGGACTTAGCTATCACCTCAAATTGTTCTTGCAGATCCAGCTTTTGTACAGTTTTCTTGTAGCATGATGGATGACAATAGTACAAAGAAGGAAAGTAACATCTGGGAAGAGATTAAATATGTTGAAGCCACTGTCTCAGACATTTTTTCATCACAATTCTCTGAGGTACTCGGTTTATTTTTTCTATAATCCAGACCAAACCCAATCTCTAGTTGTTTCTGTTTATTAGTTTTAAGGACAATGGAATCTTTCACATATCTGCAGCAAATGACGCTTACACGACTTACACCCCACTTGTTGCATGGCAAGATCTTGCTCCAAATCGAAGTCTCCATGCCATCGCGCATGAAAATACAGTAAAGCTCTTCCATGTCTGTACTTGTAGGCCATTAGGCTACTTTTGCAATCGTTTGACAAGTATTTGACCGCTCTGCAGGGACGCCATGAGAGCCGCTGAAGATGCGGAGCAGCATATTCTGAAGGTAGTCCCAAATGTGGCTCGTGTCAGCATTCTACTTAGTCTTAAGAACTCCTTGTCAGTGATTAGCACTGGTGTTTTAAGGCAATAACAAGAGAAAACCACTCTGAAAAAGCTACAACGAGTAGAACTTTGAAAAAATATACGATGAGCCAACTCTGTTTATACCTAAGTAGGCGTTTTGTTGACATCTCTGGCTTGCTTTACATTGCTCATAAAAGTTGTTTCTTTGTAATGAGCAATTTTAATCTCGAAAGTTTGCAACTTGACGAGTCCAAAGCTGAAATTGTGGGATTGTAAACTTGTTGGCACCGATTCTGCGTTGGATAAGATGAAAGTAAAATAACATCACAGCTCTTCAAAGCTTCATTCAGCCTTGACATTGCTAAAATGAGGGTTACATCAATAAGAAACAAAAGGCAAAACATTTTCTGTAACTATATCGCTATATTGACCATAACTGCTAAATTCCTCCCGAATTGGCGCTTGTTCTTGAGGTAAATGCAGAAATGTCAATTTATATCAAAGCTTAGTCTATTCATTCTCGTCAGTGTTCGAACCATCCTCTACAGTTCCGTTTCTGAACTCAGAGGACACAACTGAGTGACGATGGATGCGCTTTGATGACTTTGTTCTTGACTTGCTTCGTGGCTCCTCTAAATCCTTTCTCTTCTTTTTTGAATTACCAAGGTACCCGAAAGCAAAAGCTTCCAGTGCCTTTGTAGTCAACGGTCGAGTCCTTGTACTCTGCCTCCGCCCAGGTAGCAGATCCGCGGTTACCTGCTTCTCATGAGGCTTACACTGCATTTCCACATCCATTTGAACAGATGACTGCGCAGCACAAGAGCTGTCACTGTTTTGCACAACATCTGTGATGACAGTATCAGTACCATCAGCTTCACGTTCTACTGAGATTTGCGATACGTTCAAGTCGAAATCTTCTCTGGTTTCAAGTCTTTCTGGTGATATTTCGCGGTCTTCATTTCTTCCACTAGAGCTATCTTCTGCAAAGGAACTGGTTGAGGACAGTTTCAGAGTTTGATCTTGATTGATATGCTCCTCTCTCATCAATACATTTTGATCAGCTTCTGATGGGTTTCGTCTCATCCGTGTCCCCTTCTTCACTGGTTTCTTCTTCCTGGACTGAGTTTCACCGAGACAACCTGATTCTCTCAAGGTACAATCTGCCAAGCTACTTCTTTTGGCGCAGACGGGTAACAACTTTGGATTTCTTGGTCTCCCGCCTTTCCGGTTCTTCTGCTGTTTTTCATTGAGTGAAATGGTGCTTCGGCTCGTGGCATTGTCCATGTTTACAGAGCTGCTCTTACCAGAGCTAATACTGCCCCCACCACACACTCTTGAAGCCATTGATTTAGCTGTTTTCTCTGCGTTGTTTTCTGATTCTTCTAACAGGTTCTCTTCAGATTCACTCAAGTAACTTGGGGAGTTTGCTATTGAACTGCCGGTCTCAACAGGCAGAGATCTCAGCTCTTTCAATGTACTCGCCTTACTGGCATCCACAATCGTAAACATCACGACCTCCTGGGTTTTACTTGTTTTGGTGCGTGGTTGTAGGTACCTTTTCTTCTTCTTGCTGTTTGGTGAAGAATCATCAAACTCTTCTAAATTTATGGGAGGATCATTCTTGATTTCCTCTTCTTTGCTCACTTTTTTCTCTTGATCCACATCAGTTTTGAGCTCAAGAAGCGTGGGATCTAAAGCAACTTTTTTCAAGACATCAGTGAGAGAATCAAAGTAGTGCTTCCCCTTTGACATCTTCCTCCTGGAAAACTTATTGGCTTCCGGTACGAGAAAAACAAGAGAATTCCTTGGACCATCTTTCGGCTGCTCGGAGTGCCACCCTCTTGCCAATAAACGTGGCCAGACAGCTTCCCAGAAGAGGTCACTGGACCTTGTTTTGCTCATCCTATATTCTCCAGTTAAGAATTTTACAATATCCGCAAACGGAAGATCATTGCCTATTCGTACTTCAGAGTTACCAGAGGCTCCATGATTCAACTTGGTTGGCTCTAATGCGCAGTTGGTCAGATCTCTTTTTCCTTTACCTATACCAATCGTTTCTGTAAGCATATCAATACCTACCGTATCTTTTAAAGTGAACACATACTCCTCCAGTGCAATCATATCTTCTCTAAATGATTTAGATATCTACAAAAAACAGCACATAAAAATCTCAAGATTCTGCATTTGACAATTTTCATTTCAGTTTCAGATTACTCCTCAACCACTAGCTAACTAGAAGCATACGTACCTTTTGCAACATACTCTTGCATTCCTCAGATACTTGAGACGAGATCCGAGAAAGCAATTCTTGTTGCCTCCAACCTGTAAATAACTTATGGCCTTGAACAGACCGTCTGCTTCTCACCTTGCGTCCATCCACCCATCTCTGGTATTCATTAGACCTGTAAAAGCTGCCGTAATAGTATGAGAGCATATCTCCCATCTTTTTGCTCCCAACAAATCTCTGCACCAAGACAAGATTTTTCCCAAGACAGTAGAGACCAAGAAGAAACCTCTCTCGCTCAGCGTCTACCCAAGATTCACCCAAAGTCCCAGGGAATGGATAGAGGCTCTTATCGAGCCACTCAAACTTGAATTTAACATTTTTTGGGCATGGCAATGCAAGCACAATACTCCTTGGTTTCATACTAGCAGCTGGTACGGCCTTTTCCAAGGAAACATCTCTTGACAGATCCTCTTTTACACTCTCTTTTTCACTCTCCGCTTCACGGAAACCTCTGAATTTCTCACTTCTTGTCCACATAAGTGGGATAGGCAAACCAAATGTAACCAGATTCTGCAGGTGAGGCTCTGATTGAAAGCATCTAATGAGCCTCAAACGATCATGTTCTGGTACTAGAACCGGTATATCTGCCTGGTACTGATCTCCAACACGCGGAAGTACCTCAGGCTCTCCGTTAATTCCATGTAGATATGCAGAAAATGGGGAATCCAGTTGCTTAGAGGATTCATCAACAAAACCTTCCATGTCATCTGAATGAATTGGCTCCATCTGAGCAAATCACCAACAAAAAAAACGCAAGCTTGTTAAATGTTTCTGAGCCATACACAATGACAAGCAAAAATCTCCATCCATCCAAACCAATTCTCCAAAGACAAGTTAGATAGATGGAGTCAAACTCATCCCCAAATGCTCTAAGAACCCTAACATTGAAAGAGAATGCAGATAAATTCCAAGTCTAGAGACACGAAGAACGGGTCCAGAGTCCCATACAAACCAACATTGAAAGAAACGATTTCGAAACCCAAAGCGACCGTTTCTAACACCAACATGAAACCATCTTCATAAGAAACAAACCGACCCAATTCATGACCCACAAATGACAACTACGAAGTTATTATGAAACCAAAACTAGGAAGGAAACAAAAGAAACCATTTTGAAGGCAGTCGCAAATGACTTTGGTTTGCTAACCTTCATGGAAGAAGTGGGAACATTAATATGAAAAAGGCAACGTCGAGCAACACAATCAG